ATCATTTGTTTTTCAAGGAACATAACATATGAAAGAAACAGCTTTTGCGAGAGATGGGAACGAAATCAAAATGTTTTGTTTGTTGCTGTTTTGATATGAAATGTTTTTCTGTAGTGGAAAAGGAAAAAATCTGTATCTTATCGTTACATATTTTATTTGTTTACCGAAAAAATGTGTCTTTGGTCAGTAAGAAATTAATATGCATTTGAGAAATTAATATAATTAACTTACGGAAGTTTCAAAGAACGGACATTTTCTATTGAAAGTTTTTTGAAAGACTTTTTTGATCGTGTAGGTGGGAAAGTTTTTATATCTTTTAAACTGTGTAATTTTAAATGACAAAATCTAAAATTTGAGCGAAATCGATTCAACATTTTTTATGAAAGTTTTCAAAATCAAAATTTATTTTAATTTTTGGAATCTTTATTAGATTTATCAATACAAATTACTTATTTTAAGAAGACGTTTTTAATACAATATAGGAGGTGACTTTTTTCCATATAAACAAAAATTAGTATTGCTTATATTTTGTTTCAAAAAAATATTTCTCTTTTAATATTAGCTTCTTTAGGGTTCTATGCATAATTTTCTGTGCCTCTATCCCTTTCAAATTTATACAAACATTTTAGGACAATGAACCTGTTTATGATAATTTTTTTTTTCATTTTTCAATTGTTGCACGTTTCATTGTTACTTATAAAATTAACTTTTGAAAATTAATAAATGTAGATAAAGAACAAATATCAAACATTATATGCATAAACTATTTCGAAATGCTAAGTTATTAGATTTAAGTACCTAACTCTTACCTATCTATATCACATTTGCTTTTAGGAAAAACTAAAATACGTAAGCAGAGAAATGATAAAACAGGAGAAATTTTTTAATAATTACAATTTTGTAGTTGATAATTGCTTTTTAGAGAAATATTTTAAGGTGATTAAGAAAAGGAAATAAAAGTAGATGCAAAAAAGGATGTTTAACAATATGAATGGTGAGTGATATGAAGGGTGATAACTGATTAGCTGAATTTAATTTCGAAAGATTACTTAAAAAAGTATTTTTCTCATGAAATATCATTTGTTATCATCTAATAATAATAAGACAAAATATAAAAAAATATATTAATACCATGAAGTGAAACAAAATCATTCCAAAATCATTCATATCAAAAATATCCTTTTTCCGAAAAATGGATATTTTTGATAGTAAGCTTTCAAAACTTAAAATGTACATTTTGAAAATCCCTATTCAAATTACGGTAAAAAGTACCAGAACTTTTTACCGTAAAACCCAGTTTTTACGGGATCATGTTTTGGAACGAAAAATTTGATATTACCCTAACTACAAAACCTGATATCTGATATACTCTATTATGATCTATTTCTTATTTCATTCTGAAATAATCTCCAATGCAGCAAAATAGAATTTAAACTAATTTTAGACTTTAGTTTAAATTCTATTTTGCTGCATTGGTGATTATTTCAGAATGAAATAAGAAATAGATAACAAATAATAAGAAACTGACAAAATATACTATTTCTTTAAGATATTAAGATTCAAAGGCAAAAATCATATTATTAATTTTTAAAGGAGAATGTGCGTCGTTTTTTTAAAAAACTTCTCCGATTTTTGATTATATAATAACAATCTTCAAGAAATTTAATGTTCCATAATGCAGGAGTTTCTTTCTCAAAATTTATGGGAAATATTTACTTAGAAATCGTTTATTGTAAACATTTAGCTTTGGAGCTTCTTCAAATTTAGTATTTAACAAATAATATCATTTAGCTTCTTCAAAATGAAATTCTCAAATGACCTTAATGACTTTGATGACTCTTCCTAATTAATGAGTTTCAGAACAAAATGGATTCAACGTGCCTTGTTTTTTTATTATTGTTATTTACATCAATTATTGTTATTTACATCAATAGGGAAAAGTTATGAAATCAAATGACGCAGGAATATTCTGCTAAAAATTGACGCAAATTGAGTGAACAAACTCATATTTATAAAATTATAACAGTATCTATCTTTAACAAACACTCCAGCCATTTATAATATAATGTAATAAACAACCATTTATAATCCAACCATTTATAATATATTATAAACAATTCAATTATTTATAATATACTATGCATTTCCTCGTACACAAATTGCATGGAGTTGAGTTTTAAATTTTCCATCAGGAAGATTTCGAGTGAAGAAAAAGACCTCTCTCTCTAAGAAAAGTTCTAAAAGAGAGGCTAAAAAGAAAGTTCTCTTCTCTTCACGGTTTTTCAGGTAGGTTTTGCAAGCATGACTACAGAGTTCAGTACTTCACAATTCGAGATTATGAAGTAATGACTTTAAAGCTGATGAGAGAAAACTTTTTTTTAAAAAAAATACTGCGCTGTTAGAATTTTTACTCTAAAATTACATTAATATAACCTGCGGCAGTTTGCATATCCATTACCTGGAAGTTTACGGTTAGGAAACCTTTTTTTACCTTTATGGTTTTCTAACCATTTATAACTAGCATGGATTCAAAACTGTAAAGAGAAATTTAGTTTTAAATTGAAGTTAAGATTTTTGTTAGTCAGTAGACATATGTGTTTGATTTGGGTTCTTCCTAATAGACAGTGTTAGACTTTTTTTTCTTTTTTGGTGGGGACATTTATCGTGAGAAATGAGAAATACTAGAATTTTTGTGTTAGCCCATTTCGCATGCTGCCATCTATGCTTGAAAGAAAATATTGTAATTCGTAATTCAGAATTAGGAATTCATAACACTAGAAATTCTTAGTGTGATGAAGAAATGGAAGAAATATTATTGTGTCAATGATTGGATTCCAACTCCTCGTTCAACCGGTCATGTGATAGACAGATTAGCATTTTCGGCTATAATATGTACCATGCTGCAAGGAACTAAATAGCATCATAAGAGGAGCCTAGTTAGAGCGAGTAAGATTCTGGTTGCTTAACTTTATTAAGTGAAAACAGTCAATAAAAGAATTTTCTATAGGCAAGCAGTTTGAATGCCATCTTTTATACAGTTATTTCTCTGTTTTGGTTGAATATAGTGAAAAAACTATAAAACAAATCTTTATTTATCAATTTTTCCAAGAAATTTCTAAAAGTGCTGCGTGTCACCCAAGGAGAAACTAGTTAAGGAATATGAAGCACTAGCATATAATAAATGCATATAAAAATAAAAGATAATGCGACATCGTATATGCAATTTATAAAGAACAATCACGAATAAATCTAATTCTGTGTAGAAATAGTAGTAAGAAATAGTGCTGAATGAGTATATAAAAAGCTCACGAACTCCGTTAACGATAGTAGTATTAAAGTTTTTGTTAGAAACAGACGTTAGTTGTTACAGTGATAAAAGGTGCATCAAAGAAAGCTCATTATAAAATCAGTTAAATTTTTCGGTATTTACATTGGCTTGAACTAGGGCTAATAAGGACATAGATTATGATTTAACTTTAATTATTCCCTTTAATAAAAAAAAATACATTAAAAATCTCATTTTCGGACAAATAGTGTTTATATTTGACAATGTAAGGAGTGTTGTATTTATCCGTTTTGATACAATTCAGTGGCCAAGTTAGAGGGACACAAAAAAATTAACATGTGTGGTTGTTTAATTGCTGTTCTAACTCCTGTTTTAACTCTACATTCTTATTATTCGCATAGAATTTATTTCAGAACAGCAGTTTAGAAAAATCATTTAATTATTCTGGAAACATTATTCCGATTGAACATTATAAACTTGCTAAGTTTCATATTTCTATTTTTCATGCATTTTTGTTACGTTAACTATTTAACATCTATAAACAAGCTTCAATAAACAAAAAGTTCAGACGCTGGTATTTACTTTAAATTGTTTATTATATTAAGCACAATATGTATTTTGTTAGGAATATTATATTTTTTCCTGCAGAATTCAATGAAAATTTTCTAGCAAATGTGTTGTAAGATACAGATAGTAACCAACATGAAACAATTTTATGCAAAATTGCTAACTAAGATATTCTTAATTTTGTAAAAAACACTTAATTTAATTATTCTAACTATCTCTTAACACTTTCGGTGAACAGCCTATCCACGTTCTTCGTAAGCAATCGTAATCGACTGTAATTAATTGGAGTAGATAAAGTCAAACCTTTATATATGCTCTTAATTTTAACCAAAACTCAAAAGATTAAAAAACTCTTAAATGATGTAAAGGCAAACTTTCCTTGACGATGCTTTGAGAGTGAAAACAAATCGTTATTTGCGATACACGAAGAGGAAAACCACGAAACCTTTTAATGGATAATAATACATTACTTTATTAAAAATTTAATAGTTTTTATTAAAGCGATTACTTCGTTAGAATGTGAAAAATTCTGATGGTAATAAAATTGGAAAAAAAGAGTGAAGATAATTTCTATCTTCTTGGAAAACATAATAAGATATTTAAAGGTAGCATAATTTGAAATGAATAAAGCGTTGAAATTCAAAGTACAAGTTAAATTCAAAAGCTCAATAAAAAAACTGAACGATTTTTTTTTCTAATGTAAGAATGGATATTGATTATGTTTTAAGTTATTTACGAAAGTTAACAGCTTTATAAGTACATATGTAGAACAGAAAAAACAAGAACTTTGTCATCGAATTTCAAGTATTCGACTAATTATATATAGAAATTTGATTGTTTACATTCATTTACTCCAGTTGTAAAATGATATGGAATATTATTTTATTTTGAGTTAAAGATTAAAATGGTTTGTGCATAATAAGTAAGTAAATTTAAGATTAAATGCACAAACAACAACATCTAAATTGATAAAATTTAATATTATAATCAAATATAGCATACACTTCTAAATAAATAAAACATATTATTAAAAGGTGGACATAATTTACTTTAAATAAAGAAAAAAATATCATTTTAGAACAAAGTATAAGTAACTATAATACAGTTAATCTTAACAAGAGAACAAACAAAGTAAGAATTTACTTACCTCAAGCAATTTAGTAATTAAAAGTTTTAAGAAATCGAGTTCATTAATTGATGTTCAAAGGTAAAACAAACGGTACATCTTGAAGAAAGTAAAATTGTCTTTGAAGGTATTAAACAGCATATCTTGATGTAGAAATGTTTCATAAAAGTACTCAAACGATTTTTAGTCTATTTAAAATCACATTAATTATTTGGTTTCTGATCATTTTTATTTCAGACGATATTTAGTTTTATTTTGAGAATCAGACGAAAAAATTTAATTCACCATTTTTTATTAAAAAAAAGAACTTCTTCAAAATGTTTTGAATATGTCAGATTTTTTTTATGATTCAATAAATTAATATATTTATTTGGTGTTTATGACTTTAGTAATATGTTCTTAAATATTCATTTTAATCTCTTTCTTTGATCTCCATGACTAGACGTAATATTTATAAGATCAATGATAGATATAGAACTTTTCAATTAAATATAAAGGAAAATCTTGCATCATGTTCAGAACATAAACACAAAAGATGCCGGCACAAGTCCAGTGGCAGTGTTGATGCCAGGGCAAGCATCAGCAGCAGTTCTGCCGGTGCTACCGGCGGAGCCATTAAAAGCGAGTCCGAAACCTTGTCACAGCGCATTGTGTTAGCGAGTGACGTCACGCTTAGATGGAAGAGTTCACTACCTGCGCAGGGGAGACAGTTAAATGACACCCGGATGGTTGTTGGCTGTGAAGAGAGAAAATATTAAAAGATGCTGGAAGTGTTGGATCGATTTTGATGAGGGGCAAGGTAAAAAGGAAAATATGTATTAGTTGAAGGAGTGGTCATCTCATCACTTTTTTTCAGAATATGCAATTTGTTACTGAGCCCGTGTTTTTTTTTCATTACTTTAGGTATATTTTAGTTGCGAAAAAAATTGTGAAATGTTTAAATATCTTTATGCGAGCTTAACTATTTTAAAACTAAATAGATTAAAAAATTCTTTGTACAGTCATTTTTTAAAAAGAAATTAAATTACAATAAAAAGAATGTATTATAAAAAGGATACGATATCTATATTTAAAAAGAATTTTTTACTTGGAAAAAATCGCGTATTTATACTTTGAAAGTACGATTAATTCGGAAAATAGTTCACATTCAACAATGAAAAATTATACCAGAACAAGTGATTTTTTTGAGACTCATAGCCAAGTTTATTATCAAAAAATCATTTCTCTAATAAACTTAGAGAAATGATTAATGTCACTTATAATTTAATTTTTTAATGTGTTAAATTTTAATAAAATTTTAATATTATTCTATCATTGATTATTTTATTTATGCAATTACTTTGAATAATTTTTTAAAATTCTTCGAATGCCTTAAAATGCTTTTCCTTCAAACCATAATTCTGAAAAAAAAAATGAAAAGCCCTACAATAATAAAATAAAAAAATTTATAAATTCGTAGAAGTTTTGAGATTTTAGTATTTTTGAAAATTACATTTAGTATGTAGTTTTTAATTAAAAGTGTTGCAGTAAGATTGGTGTGAATAATAAAATATATTTATTATTTTATAAGATATTTTTTATTTTTTTGAATACGATTGTTAAGCAATAAAATGCATGAAATATAAACTTTATAAGATATAAAGAGTTCTAATATAGTTTTTAATAATAATTTTAAATCAAAAAGTTGACGTTATCGTTTTTACAATACAGCTCTTATAGCACAAACTTTGAAAACTTTAAGTCAATTGCTTTTCCTCCCAAACACTCAAATATTTCGCAAATTCTATATTCACAGATTTAAAAAAATATAATAAAATACAACAGTTTTTAAGTTAACTATATTATATTTTTTATATTTTTCAAATTTTGTTGCATTGTTTAAAATAAAATATATATTGACACCTCTTATTTTTTTTAATCTATATTTTAAAAAAAATCATTGTTGCATTTTGGCTGAAAAAGTAGTTGTGAGTCATTATCTTGTTAGTCATCTGGTATAACAAATATATCAGTTTTTCAAAAATCACATTTCTTAGCAAATTTCTCTTAGAAAATGTAAAGTAAATGCTTAATTTATCTAAGAAAAAAAAGAGTGGAACAGCATTATATATATATTCCAAGGAAAATTACTCTAAAGAAATAAAAAAAATTATTTCTCTTATTATTTCTTTTAACAATAAAGTTTTAAAAGTTTCTATACAAACCCAAGGCAAAGTTATATTTTAACATTAAAGATTTAAGGTTTGCACGAAGTCCAAGGCAATGTAAATTAAAAATAATATCTTAAAAAGTTTATTGACATATTTTATTAACATTTGAATAATAAAAAAATGAGGTCTCGGACACCTGTTTTCTAATTAGACTTTTGTAAACAGTAGAAGAAAGCACAATTGCATACTTTAGTGTTTTATTTTAAACCTTTGCCCTATTGTAAATCATGAACCTTTATTGGCAATTTATAATCAATGACCTTTTCTAATTCCAGCATGATCATAAACATAAGTCGTAAAATATAATTATGCTTGAAATGTAACTGTCGTAACGGCCTTGAATTCTATTAGAAGGCCTGCAACAAAGCTAAACATATATTTAGTGGTCGAAAATGCATTATTAGTAACGAAACTATTGTACTGTGTCACTAAGTCTTTTCGTAGTTTATAGTGTAATGCGTTTGTAAATTATACAGTACACTGTAAAAAATTCCGGATCAAATTACGACAAAAAGTACTGGCACCTCAAGTTCCCAGCTTTTTCGGTACTTTTCCGGTGTCATTTTTAACGTAAAATATAACGGAATAAAAAATCTGATCAACTGTAATTTTAAGATATTTTTTACTGTGAAACCACTGAAAACTGCAATGAAATAAATTTTACTGTTAAAATTACTGTACAAAACTTAACGGTAAAAAGAGGTTTCACTGATGCTGCACTCAAGGTGCCAGTACTTTTTACCGTAATTTGATCCGAAATTTTTACAGTGTAGTATAATGTGTTATAATCTAGAAAAAGTAGTGTATAGTGAGTTGTGCGATATAAAGAAATACTAGTTTAGAATACTAGTAAAGAATAAATACTAGTATACTATTTATTTAATTAGAGTGACTCAATGATTTTACAGTAATCATTACTGTAAAAATTACGGTATATCAGATCTTTGGTTCCGTAACATGTTCCGATAAAAATGAATTTTACGGTAAAAAGTACTGGCGACTTAAGTGCCGATACTTTTTACCATAATTTGATCCGGAAATTTTTACAGTGCATCGCACAAGGTTTATCAATAAAAGATTTTAAAAAATAGTTTCTTTAATAATTTTTTTTTTTTTAGATGGTAGATTTTTTTAATTCAACGAAAGTTTTAAATACTGTAATTGCATTTTTGATTTTAATTTTTATTTGTTTGCGTATTAATTAATTTAAAAGATTTGTGAGTCTCAACAAAATAAATAATATCTGAGAAGACATGAATGGGAATTTTTTATGTTTTAATGAAAGCTCTCTTAGCTAGCTTAAATAAGATTGATGAAAACTTATGACAGTCATAAACCCATTTTTTGAAACCAAAAATTACATTTCTACATATAATATCATTGAGAGAGAAAATTCTTTGATTTTATTTGAATTTGTTTTAAATTTATGCTGTTATTTTGAATATGTTGTATAAATATTCTCAATAGAATAATTTTTTTCAATGAAACATTATGCATGTGACTGAAGTACATATTTCATAAAAATTTCATATTCAACTAAACTAAACTCAGTGGCTTGACAGTCCATAGAGGGTCAAGGCCTACTGTGCCCATCTCAGTTTTCTTGACCTTGGACTCCGGGGTGCAGGAGCAGATGTTCCAGTCAGGTGGTAGGCCGAACGCGGAACTCCCAGTGTTATGTCCCAAGCATACTTGGTACTCATTCATCAACCCACTGAAGGGATTAAAGGCTGAGTCAACCTTGCCCGGCCTGAAGATCGAACCCAGAACCTATGGCACGGGAGCGTAAAGCGATACCACTCAGCCACCGGGCGTCTTCAACAGTTCATATTCAACAGTCTGCTCATCTATGATTTTTGGAAATTTCTGCAACCTCTATGATAGTTTATCTTTTCTCATAATTTATATAGATTAATCCCTATAACAATACAAATAGTGATAAACCTATTTTAAGAAACCGAAAATTATCTTTTTATTTACGTATAGCTATCATCCAGCAGATGAATCAAATCATATTATTTCATGTAATTCTTTTTATTTTTTTACCATTGTATCATAATATATTGTATGCTTTGAGCAATATTTAATTCTAAAGCATTTAGCCTGACTGATGAACAATGCAATTGTAGAAAATAGTTAATGACAGAAAAAGTTAAAATCTCTATAATAGTCTCTCTTTTCCTATAATAACTTTTATAAACTAATTTCTAAAAAACTGTCATTACTTATTTACCAGTTTTTAAATTTCATTAATTCGTATTGGCAAACCGACGTTTAAGAGCATGAGTAATCCAAAAATTGGCGAGTTGTCGATAAATTAAGCTAACCCTGTGTTTTTAACATTTAATTTTGAATAATCTGGCTACAAATAAATCACCAAAAAGACCGTTATAATTAAATATAACCCCGTAACTGAAACAATTTTGTGAAAAAAGAACCTAAAGCAACTTTAAGAAAATAAGGTTAAAAAATAGATTTTGGTATTCGTTTTCTCACGACACGGAATTAATAAGTGATTGACTTGTATTAAATAAAAAGTTAGCCGTTGCATTGATTGAGAAGAATCCGGTTTCTTTGAAATGGAATTAAAATTAAATAATTGATCTAATATAATAAGAGGATTAAAAAAATTAAATGAATGAAATTAAAGAAATTTAAAAGTTAGTAAAAATGTAATGATTATAATAGCATCACACTAATAAACCTATTTTACGATTTATTATATTCTTGTATACACGCATTGCAATCTTCCAGCTGAAAAATCTACTAATATTATTGTGTTTTCTTTCTTTTTTTAAGTTCTAACTATTGTGTTGCAAAATATTGTAAAAATATTCTATTTTGAACGATATATGTATCTGAAACACATTGCCTTACTAGCATACACCAAATAAAATTTCTTATAACTTCCTGTCTTCAAATATTTATTTATTTGCTATCTTTAGAAATGATAGCCTATTGTTTATGCCTGAAAAAGTTGACTAAAATAAAGTAGTTTTTAAAACATTAAAAGCATTAATATACATAATTTATGAAATCCAAAATTACGTTTTTACATACAATTCCAATCATAAAGCATGAAAGTTTATTTATTTCATTTTATGTTTTCAAGCGTTGTTGTATAGTAATAGTTTTATAAATATTCTCCATTGAACTATATTTGTTTATGAAACATTTTGCCTGGCTGAAGAATAAAGAGTCCTTTGAAGCCTCTGTTTCAATAATTTTTATTTAATGGAATTCTGGATTGTTTCTTTTTACTTAAATTATTTTTACATTTAATTATTTCTTATTTCATTTACTTAATTATCATTAGTGAACTCCTTTAAGGGAATTTAACCACATTATTTAATCGCACACATCCTACATCATTGCACATAATAAACTTACTTTTTCCTTTGACATTTTTTTAATTATGATATATTTAATTATAA